ACCAGCAAACATTTTTCTCCTTTTGGGATAAAGGTTTTACATAAATGAATAAAAGCTGACCATTGTAAGCACCCTTGTCAGTGGTAAATGATTTGTCTCAATCCTTTCACTTCTACTTTGTCTGGATTTGTCTTGGCCTAGTGAAGGAAGTTAAGAAATAACTTACTTTTTGGCTGGATCAACAGGTAAAAATAAATAAAATAATATAAAAAAAACAACCAATGCAGCCATCACATCTAAGAATTGGTAAGTGGGGATATATGGCAGCTGTCATTGCTGACTGACTTCTTCCATTAAAAAATGTTGGTTCCTTGACTGGGATGATGATCCAGTGCCTTCAGAACTTTCAGCGTTACTGAACTCAAAAAACATATTAATTAAATGTTCTGACGTTCCTGATCTGCATAGATATTTTGGGTCAATGCCTTAAAGCATTGCATCTAGAATGTGTAAGAAAAGAAGCATTTACAGAAGGACCTGATTAATGGAAGTAGATAAAGGGTAAAGGGTAAAGTGAAAGCATCTGTAAAACTCACCCTGAACACTTAAAACTCACCTCTCCAGTGCTTCACTACTGCTCCTTCCACCTACATACCTTCTGTTGCTCAGACTTCAAGCTGAACTCTGGGGAAAAATAGAACCCCTAAAATAGGTCTCCCTCCCCACTGGAAGGGTTAACAGCTCATTTGGCCTAGGGGATGATGACCAAGGTTATACAGTCTGGTCCATAAATATTGGGACATCGACACATTTCTAACATTTTTGGCTCTATACACACCACCCCAATGGATTTGAAATGAAACTAACAAGATGTGCTTTAACTGCAGACTGTCAGCTTTAATTTGAGGGTATTTACATCCAAATCAGGTTAACGGTGTAGGAATTACAACAATTTGCATATGTGCCTCCCACTTGTTAAGGGACCAAAAGTAATGGGACAATTGGCTTCTCAGCTGTTCCATGGCCAGGTGTATGTTATTCCTTTCAACTCATTATCCCAATTACAATGAGCTCAATGCGTAGCCAAAACAACTGTTTGGAACATTCTTAAAAAGAAGGAATGCACCGGTGAGCTCAGCAACACCAAAAGACCCGGAAGACCACGGAAAACAACTGTGGTGGATGACCGAAGAATTCTTTCCCTGGTGAAGAAAACACCCTTCACAACAGTTGGCCAGATCAAGAACACTCTCCAGGAGGTAGGTGTATGTGTGTCAAAGTCAACAATCAAGAGAAGACTTCACCAGAGTGAATACAGAGGGTTCACCACAAGATGTAAACCATTGGTGAGCCTCAAAAACAGGAAGGCCAGATTAGAGTTTGCCAAACGACATGTAAAAAAGCCTTCACAGTTCTGGAACAACATCCTATGGACAGATAAGACCAAGATCAACTTGTACCAGAGTGATGGGAAGAGAAGAGTATGGAGAAGGAAAGGAACTGCTCATGATCCTAAGCATACCACCTCATCAGTGAAGCATGGTGGTGGTAGTGTCATGGCGTGGGCGTGTATGGCTGCCAATGGAACTGGTTCTCTTGTATTTATTGATGATGTGACTGGTGACAAAAGCAGCAGGATGAATTCTGAAGTGTTTTGGGCAATATTATCTGCTCATATTCAGCCAAATGCTTCAGAACTCATTGGACGCCGCTTCACAGTGCAGATGGACAATGACCCAAAGCATACTGCAAAAGCAGCCAAAGAGTTTTTTAAGGGAAAGAAGTGGAATTTTATGCAATGGCCACGTCAATCACCTGACCTGAATCCGATTGAGCATGCATTTCACTTGCTGAAGACAAAACTGAAGGGAAAATGCCCCAAGTACAAGCAGGAACTGAAGACAGTTGCAGTAGAGGCCTGGCAGAGCATCACCAGGGATGAAACCCAGCATCTGGTGATGTCTATGCGTTCCAGACTTCAGGCTGTAATTGACTGCAAAGGATTTGCAACCAAGAATTAAAAAGTGAAAGTTTGATTTATGATTATTATTCTGTCCCATTACTTTTGGTTCCTTAACAAGTGGGAGGCACATATGCAAACTGTTGTAATTCCTACACCGTTCACCTGATTTGGATGTAAATACCCTCAAATTAAAGCTGACAGTGTGCAGTTAAAGCACATCTTGTTCGTTTAATTTCAAATCCATTGTGGTGGTGTATAGAGCCAAAAATGTTAGAATTGTGTCGATGTCCCAATATTTATGGACCTGACTGTATAATTACCTTTCTCCTCACTCCTCCACAAGCTGGATTACTCCACCACTGTCTCACTCTCTAGAATGTGGGAATCCCTCAACAACCTCTCAAGCAATGCAGAACTGCTGGTTCTGGAAGCTTTTGGGGGACCAGTCACGGAAAGAAGGGCACGGGCTGCAGGAGCAAGGGATAGGCTAAGTATATCATCTTATTTATCGTCCCCTAGGCATAACAAGCAGTTACCTCTTGCAGTGGGGAGGGGACCATTTGCAAGGGTTTTTTTCCCAGGAGTTCATTTTTAATGTACTGGTTGCTAGCCCTAAGCACTACATCATGGCAGAAGGTCATATGTTCCTCTCTATCTGGAAGGACTGGGACTTATTGCAGTGGGGGACCGCTGAAGAATGAATAGCTAGGTAGCGCTGGAGGGGTGACCATAAAGAGGTTATGGGGTAGCTCTTACTCAGACTCTCACTATTTCCTGAATCGGCAAAGCGATAGTGTTTCTTTGGATGATGGAGGGAGGTTAACAAATAAGGCAATTACAGAGGGTTTATGTAATAAACATATAGCAGGGGAAAGGTTACAGTAAACATGTGTTTTGCCCATACAGGTGCATTTTAATGCCAACTCCCACAGCATTTTAAACTTAAACTTAGCTTCCATTGGCTTCCCCACCAGTCCACTTAACTACGGGAAAAAGCCACACACACACTCACTATTTTCGCCAATAACCAGCATCAAAATCCCCTCACCAAAACTATATGCACTGCATACTAACATGCCATGTCAAGAGTTATTTCACACAAATCTAGATATCCATTTACCATGTAAGATTATTAAGATAAAATACTTTTCTGCATGACTTACTGTACCACTTTTACCCAAAGTTATTCATTCCAAGTCTCTGATTGTAAGAACCTAGGTGAAAATGAAATACCCTGTTCCAAGAACATTAAGCCATTGCTAGGCACCAGATATTAGTGGCAGTACTTTATTTTTAGAAACTGTGAATTGGCACACACCGATGCGGTTCGGCATATCGCATGTGATTCGCACAGGAACCGCACTGCATTCCTGTGAAAATCACATGCGATTTCTGTGCAGTTCAACTTGAGCCATACATTTTGTATGGCTCAAATTTCACTGCATCCGTATCAAAAAAGTGCATGATACTTTTTTAGTCCACACCAGAATCGAATCACATGGGTGTTCACACCCATGCGATCTAATTCTGCACATCAAACCGCGTTTTGCAAACTGATTTCGGGGTTAACTTAAAATACACACCGCAATGGTTTGTATGAATGGGGTGCGATTTATGATGCAGTGTGGAAATCGCACAGATAGCGGTTTGCACCGAACCCAGGCTCAAGCAGAATAAGCAAAAACTTCTTTACATGTCCTTGTTGCTGATTTCCTACCTTCACTGAATATGTCATCCAACTTCTGGTTCACTCAGTATTTACTCTGAAATAGTCTATTTGCTTTCAAATCAAACTGTTAATTCCCCTTGGTTCCCTGTTTGTAAGACCAGTGGCTGGTATGCCTCCTATTTCCCTGAGCCACTGGTCTTGGTACATCCCTTCTGTAGTTATTTCTCTAGGAAGCAGTGATGTAATTCAGCCCCACTTGCAGTGGTGGAGGGACTGAGACTCTCGGACGCATTCAACATGTACAAGACTAGTGTACCCGCCCACATTCAATACCATTCCTTGTGGTTGATGGGAACTGTAGTTTACTTTTACTGCAGAGATAGAGGAGAGGATTTGATGTAATTCCTCCTGTTCCACCTCTGTCAGGAATGGACTGGCCAGCAATAGTGGGACTCAGCTGCCTTATGAGCTGCAGTACCAGGGCTGGCCAGCGGGTGCTCCCAGCAATCAGAGACTCAACCTTGCAGCCAGTCAAACACCTGGAACTAATTATACTGGTGTATTTAAGGGACATTCAGACCTGCAGACTCTGCCTTTGTGTTGTGTTTCTCTTGGGCCCTGTATCCTGTTCCTGCTCTCTGTTCCTGTCTGATTCTCTGCTGACCCTGCTCTGATCCCTGGCTTGTCTGACCATTCTCCTCTGCCTGACCTCTGTACCACGCTGCCCGCTACCTGCTGAACCTGGCCTGTGACCCCGACCATTCTCCGCTTGCTCCCCCTGTACCCTACCTGCCCGACTGATATTGACCCGGCCTGCCTGACGACGCTTGCATTGTATGTACTGTTATCTGTGGGTGGTTGGTTGGTTTGTTTGCACTGTGTTATGTTTTAGTATTGCACTGCGTTTCCCTGCGTCAGTCACACACCTCTGGTCATACCGGGAGCCCTGACATTACACCAAGGCCAATCCTGACCAGAAGTGGCTGCACAGGGAAGCCATCTTGGCTTGTTGATGGGAAGGATGGATCTGGATGAGGGTTGCGTATTTATCTCTGCTAGTGTTTGATGACAGGGAGTATGCTTATCAAACTCTGAAGGAGTATACCCGGGATGAACTGCTAGAATGTATACGGCTCGCTCATGTTCTAGTAGATCAGGGCACAGAGTTCTCTGAGGTGCAGCCTTTGATTGAGGTTTGTGCTGAGTTGGTTTCATCTGGTACCCCCGAATGCAGGGATGAATTTTTGCCACCATTTAGTGCAGACCAGGTAGAGTCCCTGGTGTGGTTATTAGAGGATGATGTGGGTTACTTTCTGGAGCGTTATTCCACATGTTCACCACAGGTACTAAGAGATTGTATAAACGCAGTGTAGTCATTGACCAGACAGGCTTTGTGTAAGCTCAGCTTTGTTCAACCCATACTGCAGACATGGACAGACTTGTTGCACCCAGCCTCAGTCAGCTTACAAAAACCCAGTCCTGCTTCTAATCTATTTCCTCAAAACTCTATTCCTGCATTCCCAACAGCTCCTCCTGCCCTGCTATCTACCACATATCAGTACCCTGTTCCCACTCGCTGCACCTATCCTGCCTTTAACCCTGTAAAAAAGTCCTCTGTAGCAACTGCTCCCTCTCCTGTTCCATCCTCCTGTTCTTCTCTGTCTCCAGCTGCTCCATTCGTTTGCAGACCTGCGTTTACTTGCAGTGCTCCAGTAGTTAAAACCAGAAAAAAGCGAAAATTCTTTCCAACCAATACCATCCTGCCAGTATCCAAACCGGTGAACCTGCTTCCGTGGTTCAGCCTGAAGCCTCTACTCAGCCTGAATCCTCTACTCAGCCTGATGCCTGTACTCAGCCTGATGCCTGTACGCAGCCTGATGCCTCTACTCGGCCTGAAGCCTCTACTCGGCCTGGTGCCTCTACTCGGCCTGAAGCCTCTACTCGGCCTGAAGCCTCTACTCAGCCTGAAGCCTCTACTCAGCCGGACGCCGGCATTCAGCCTGATGCCTCTACCCAGCATGATGAACTGATCCAGCCAGACGATCCAATGCCTGGTGACCCGGTGCCCACTGCCTTGCCAGATGACGCGGTGCCCGCTGGCAAGCCAAATGACCTGATGCCTGGTGACCCAGTGCCCGCTGTCATACCTGGTGACCCGATGCCCGCTGTCGAGCCAGACAATCCGGTACCTGATGACCCGGTGCCCACTGTCGTGCCTGTTGACTCGGAGCCCACTGCCTTGCCAGATGACGCGGTGCCCGCTGTCGAGCCAAATGACCTGATGCCTGGTGACCCGATGCCCGCTGCCAGTCAGACGATCCAATGTCTGACCCAGTGCCCGCGTCATACCAGTTGACTCGGAGCCCACTGCCTTGCCAGATGACGTGGTGCCCGCTGGCAAGCCAAATGACCTGATGCCTGGTGACCCAGTGCCCGCTGTCATACCTGGTGACCCGATGCCCGCTGTCGAGCCAGACAATCCGGTACCTGGTGACCCGGTGCCCACTGCCTTGCCAGATGACGCGGTGCCCGCTGTCGAGCCAAATGACCTGATGCCTGGTGACCCAGTGCCCGCTGTCATACCTGGTGACCCGATGCCCGCTGTCGAGCCAGACAATCCGGTACCTGATGACCCGGTGCCCACTGTCGTGCCTGTTGACTCGGAGCCCACTGCCTTGCCAGATGACGCGGTGCCCGCTGTCGAGCCAAATGACCTGATGCCTGGTGACCCGATGCCCGCTGTCCAGCCAGACGATTCAATGTCTGCCCCAGTGCCCGCGGTCATGCCAGTTGACTCGGAGCCCACTGCCTTGCCAGATGAAGCGGTGCTCGCTGTCGAGCCAAATGACTTGATGCCTGGTGACCCGATGCCCGCTGTCCAGTCAGACGATCCAATGTCTGACCCAGTGCCCGCGGTCATACCAGTTGACTCGGAGCCCACTGCCTTGCCAGATGACGTGGTGCCCGCTGGCAAGCCAAATGACCTGATGCCTGGTGACCCAGTGCCCGCTGTCATACCTGGTGACCCGATGCCCGCTGTCGAGCCAGACAATCCGGTACCTGATGACCCGGTGCCCACTGTCGTGCCTGTTGACTCGGAGCCCACTGCCTTGCCAGATGACGCGGTGCCCGCTGTCGAGCCAAATGACCTGATGCCTGGTGACCCGATGCCCGCTGTCCAGCCAGACGATCCAATGTCTGACCCAGTGCCAGCGGTCATGCCAGTTGACTCGGAGCCCACTGTCGTGCCTGGTGACTCGGTGCCCGCCGCTTCGCCTGGGGGCCCGAGACCTGTCGCTCCGCCTGGGGGTCCGGCGCCCGCCGCTCCGCCTGGGGGTCCGGCGCCCGCCGCCCCGCCTGGGGGCCTGAGACCTGTCGCTCCGCCTGAGGGCCCGAGACCTGTCGCTCCACCTGGGGGCCCGAGACCTGTCGCTCCGCCTGGGGGTCCGGCGCCCGCCGCTCCGCCTGAGGGCCCGAGACCTGTCGCTCCGCCTGGGGGTCCGGCGCCCGCCGCTCCGCCTGAGGGCCCGAGACCTGTCGCTCCGCCTGGGGGTCCGGCGCCCGCCGCTCCGCCTGAGGGCCCGAGACCTGTCGCTCCGCCTGGGGGTCCGGCGCCCGCCCCTCCGCCTGAGGGCCCGAGACCTGTCACTCCGCCTGGGGGTCCGGCGCCCGCCGCTCCGCCTGAGGGCCCGAGACCTGTCGCTCCGCCTGGGGGTCCGGCGCCCGCCGCTCCGCCTGGGGCCCGATGCCTGTCGCTCCGCTTGGGGGCCCGATGCCTGTCGCCCTGCCGCCTGGGGGCCCGATGCCTGTCGCCCCGCCTGGGGGCCCGATGCCTGTCGCCCCGCCTGGGGGCCCGACGCCTGTCGCCCCGCCTGGGGGCCCGACGCCTGTCGCCCCGCCTGGGGGCCCGATGCCGGCCTGTCGCCCCTCCTGGGGGCCCGGCGCCCGCTGCCGCTCCGCCCTGGGGGCCCGATGCCGGTCGCCTCGCCCGGGGGCCCGGTGCCTGCTGCCCCGCCCGGGGGCCCGCTGCCTGCTGCTCCGCCCGGGGGCCTGCTGCCTGCTGCCCCGCCCGGGGGCCCAGTGCCTGCTGCCCCGCCCGGGGGCCCGCTGCCTGCTGCCCCGCCCGGGGGCCCGCTGCCTGCTGCTCCGCCCGGGGGCCCGCTGCCTGCTGCTCCGCCCGGGGGCCCGCTGCCTGCTGCTCCGCCTGGGGGCCCGGTGCCTGCTGCTCCGCCTGGTGGCCCGCTGCCCTGCCTGCTGCTTCGCCTGGTAATCCGATGTGCCTCTGCCCGGAGTCCATCCCGATGTGCCTCTGCCCGGAGTCCTGCCCGATGTGCCTCTGCCCGGAGTCCTGCCCGGTGTGCCTCTGCCCGGAGTCCAGCCCGGGGTGTGCCTCTGCCCGGTGTGCCTCTGCCCGGTGTGCCTCTGCCCGATGTGCCTCTGCCCGGAGTCCAGCCCGGTGTGCCTCTGCCCGGAGTCCAGCCCGGTGTGCCTCTGCCCGGAGTCCAGCCCGGTGTGCCTCTGCCCGGAGTCCAGCCCGGTGTGCCTCTGCCCGGAGTCCAGCCCGATGTGCCTCTGCCCGGAGTCCTGCCCGATGTGCCTCTGCCCGGTGTGCCGCTGCCCGGAGTCCTGCCCGGTGTGCCAGTCTTTGATATCCCGCCAGTTACCAGACCCGGGTGGTGGAACATTTTGCCCAGCTAGGACTGTTGGGAGCGTCCTGAGGCCGCTCCTTGAGGGGGGGGGGTACTGTCAGGAATGGACTGGCCAGCAATAGTGGGACTCAGCTGCCTTATGAGCTGCAGTACCAGGGCTGGCCAGCGGGTGCTCCCAGCAATCAGAGACTCAACCTTGCAGCCAGTCAAACACCTGGAACTAATTATACTGGTGTATTTAAGGGACATTCAGACCTGCAGACTCTGACTTGGTGTTGTGTTTCTCTTGGGCCCTGTATCCTGTTCCTGCTCTCTGTTCCTGTCTGATTCTCTGCTGACCCTGCTCTGATCCCTGGCTTGTCTGACCATTCTCCTCTGCCTGACCCTCTGTACCACGCTGCCCGCTACCTGCTGAACCTGGCCTGTGATCCCGACCATTCTCCGCTTTCTCCCCCTGTACCTACCTGCCCGACTGATATTGACCCGGCCTGCCTGACGACGCTTGCATTGTATGTACTGTTATCTGTGGGTGGTTGGTTGGTTTGTTTGCACTGTGTTATGTTTTAGTATTGCACTGCGTTTCCCTGCGTCAGTCACACACCTCTGGTCATACCCAGGAGCCCTGACAACCTCCTACTTGGCAGAGCAGATGCTGTTATCTTTTGCATTGCAGAGATGAGGTCATGAAAATTCAATTTAACTTTTCTCCTAAATGGTAAGGATTTAAAAATTGTATTAATTGTTTAGTGTTTTGTGTAGGGGGTGTACTAATGGGTGATTTTTTTGCCTATTCCAGAGTTCTTCTTTAACTAAATACCAAAAGGGATAAAAAAAAGTAATTCTGTTACTACAACAGAAAACTCCAAAAGGTAGAGAAGATGTATGCACATAATGTGGCAAATACATTTATTACACATGAATAAAAATGTTAAAAGAATACAATTGCACTGTCTTCCATCCCACACCAATATTATATTTTATATATACTGTATATACACACAGTGTATTTAAAAAAATAAAAGGCTGTGCTCACCCTATAGAACTCTTAAATAACATATAATGCAAATAACAATATATCCATCATTGTGCATACAATCAAAATGTAAATTTTAAATTATAGTGCCAATAACAATATATCCATCATTGTGCATACAATTAAAATTTAATTGTCCTTTTAAAGTGTCCTTATAAATCAAAAAAAGTTCCAGTGCAATAAAAAGTGCCACCTTAAAGTGCAAATATGTGTGCCATAAATCTTAAGAATAAAGTGGTTTGTGCTCCGTGCAATTAATTGTACTCCATTTCTCCAAACACTGTGCAGTCTCCTGTGTCCCCTGCAGGGACCAAGCTCACCAGAGATTGTTGACCCACTAAGTAGGAAAGTTCAATATGCCTTTTCACACAGTCTCACTATGTATAATATCGTTCTCCTCCGGTCCTCAGTGAGCTCAAGCATCAAAACGGCCGACCATGGATATGAAGAAAGCGATCCCGGTGTTGGTCCCTTGCAGCCCAAACTTCCTGAGTACGGTTGTGCAAGACACTGGGCTCCACTTTAAGGTACCTGAAGGACTTGCCTTTTGCCTGAGCATGAAATAAAGATAAGGAATTGTGACAGTATAATGCCCTGTTGGTGTAAGAAGGGTTAACTGGCACTCAGGGTTCTCATGCATACAGGTTGAGGGGATCCAAGATTAGAATTGGTACAGAAGAAACTGGTTGTTCAGTGTCATCTGGGATTAAGAAGTCCTGGTATTGGTTCTGGAGTCCTAGGACTTTAACTACTTGCCTACCAGGCACTTTCACCCCTTTCCTGCCCAGGCCAATTTTCAGCTTTCAGCGCTGTCGCATTTTGAATGACAATTGCGGTCAAGCATCACTGTACCCAAACCAAATTTGTATCTTTTTTTAGACAGATAGAGCTTTCTTTTGGTGGTATTTTTTCTTAGTTTCTGTTATAAAATTTTGTAAATAAGTATTTTTTCTCCTTTACTGATGTGTGCTGATGAGGCTGCACTGATGGGCACTGATAGGCAGCACTGATAGACAGTACTGATAGATGGCACTGATAGGCATCACTGATGGGTACTGACAGGCATCATTGATGGGCACTGAAAGGCAGCACTGATGGGCACTGAATAGGCAGCACTGACAGGCACTGATAGGCTTCACTGATGGGCACTGATAGATGGCACTGATAGGCAGCACTGATGGGTACTGACAGGCATCATTGATAGGCACTGAAAGGCAGCACTGGTGGCCACTGATAGGCAGCACTGACTGGCACTACTAGGTGGCACTGATGGGCACTGCTAGGTGGCACTGATTGGCACTGCTAGGTGGCACTGATGGGTACTTATAAGCGGCACTGATGAGGAGGCACTGATAGGCAGCACTGATGGGCACTGATAGGCAACACTGACTGGCACTGCTAGGTGGCACTGATGGGCACTGCTAGGTGGCACTGATTGGCACTGCTAGGTGGCACTGATGGGTACTTATAAGCGGCACTGATGAGGAGGCACTGATAGGCAGCACTGATGGGCACTGATAGGCAACACTGGCTGGCACTGATAGGTGGCACTGATTGGCACTGATAGGTGGCACTGATGGATATACTTATAAGCGGCACTGGTGGGCACTGATAGGCAGCACAGATTGGCACTGATAGGTAGCACTGCCTGGCACTGACAGGTGGCACTGACTGGCACTGATAGGTGGCACTGATTGGTACTGATAGACTGTACTGATGAGGAGGCACTGATAGGCGGCACTGATGGGTATTATCAGGCATCACTAATAGGCAGTGAAAGGCAGCTCTGATGGGCACTGATATGTGACATTGATGGACACTGATATATGGCACTGATATCTGGCATTGATCGGCAGCAATGATGGGCACTGGTGGGGCTACACTGAACATCAGGGCACTGATGATCAGTGCCCTGATTATCAGTGTAGATGTCCCCTCTGAGGAATGCCGCTTACTGGCTGTCCTCTCCTCATGCGCTGTCAGCATAAGGAAAGGACTGATAACTGGCATTTCCTGTCTACATGTGATCAGCTGTGATTGGTAGAGGTGGTAGAGCCTACGTCATCGGCTCTATACACCGAACATTGATCCGCTGTGTTCTAGGAACACAGCGCACCACCAATCACCGTGCCAGGCACCTCAGAGGGCGTGCATGCGCAGCTAGAGTGTGAGGACATCATATGACGTCCCCCCAGAACAAGAGAGCTCCCGCCCGTCTGTCATTTCCCTATGTGGCAGGTGGGAGGGTGGTTAAAGAGATTTGGGAGGGATGGAGGAAGCTGACTGAATTTCAGGGTTCCACCCTCCCCAGCAGTCTGTGTGACTGCATGTGTGCACAGTAGCTGAGCGTAATCTCTTGAGAAATAGACAAGGGCCTATGTTTGAGGCCAGAGCAGCAAGGCACTGCAAGAGCCAGCCAGGAAGCATGTGTTTTTTACAATACGTTTAATAAAAGCAAACATGGAAAGTCGTGAACTTGTATCCCAGGAAGCGCTACTTTTGAGCTAATTTCCCACAGATGTAATAATTAATGCAGTGAAATAAAGATGATAGAACTGGAGCTTACACAGTAAGGGATCATGTATACGGGGCGTTTTAAAAACTCTTCTGACCAATGGAAACTGACTGCTGAAAAACGTAGGTTTAAAAAACATCAGTTTAGCCGCGTTTGCATACCATGTTTATGTGCGTTTATGAGCGTTTGCATTTAGAAGCATTTTTAAATGATAACCTCAGGAGACCTTCCCAAGAGCCCAGAATGCACTGAAAAAACAGTAAAAAAAAAACTATTTCAGACATTTTGAGAGAAAATTGAGAGAGCAGAAGCAGAGAGAGCAGTATTTGTTGAGATTACCTGTGTTTTCTGGTTGTATTCACTATGGATCCCATCATGAGCATAATGCAGCACGTTCTACCATTCTGTCCTTCACGCGAAACCTGGAACTGACTGCGCTGGTGTACT